ATAGTGCTTTTAAATAATATAAATGTACATATAAATTCTATGTAAATTAGTGAATATGATAAAGTAAAAGGGGAAAAAAGGTGGAGGAAAGTTGTTTAAACAATCACTGACTACAATTATGCTTTTACTTAAATAATAATTCCTTTTTGGGAAATACTGTTTTAGACTCTTGTGTAGGCAGAGATGGTTCCTCTCAGGATTTCGCTCTGGCAATGACTGGGAAGCTAGCAACACGTCTCTGCAACCTGCCTTGCTCCCTTTGCCTTTCTTGGTGAAAGTCACCCCTGGCTATGGGCCCTGATGATGCTTTTGACCAGCAGGGAATACTGGGGAAAATGAGCTACTCCGAGCTCACACGCACACACCACCATCACTGCCATCACCACCATCAGCAGTATCACTGCCATCAACACCACCATCAGCAATGAAGTTGGGCCGGGCGCGGTGGTTCACACCTACAATCCCAGCACTTTGGGAGGCCGAGGCGGGTGGATCACGACGTCAGGAGATCGAGACCATCCTGGCTAACACGGTGAAACACCATCTCTACTAAAAATATAAAAAAATTAGCCCAGCGTGGTGGTGGGCGCCTGTAGTCCCAGCTGCTGAGGAGGCTGAGGCAGGAGAATGGCGTGAACCCTGGAGGCGGAGCTTGCAGTGAGCCGAGATCATGCCACTGCATTCCAGCCTGGGTGACAGAGCAAGACTCTGTCTCAATAAATAAATAAATAAAATAAATAAACTTAATAACTAGTTTTCACTTTATGTTTGATCTTCCTACATTGAGCAACCTGCCCCAGTACATTTTTCTTAAACCTTTGATACCCATTACTGCCTTTCTTCTGTTTCACGAGAAACTTGCCAGCAGATAATAGCATGAATGGGTAGGCAGAAATAAGCAGTAGGGGTGAAATGCCAAAGCAGTCAATTATCTAATGATCGTAATAAGTAACATTTAACCGTGCTTATGATGTGGTGCCTGGATGTTCTAAGCACTTTGCATGGATTAATTTATGTTTGCCTTACAGCAGCGACTGAAGAGGAAAGATGCTATTTTATCCTTGGCTAGTAACACATACATATGTTTGATAGGATGCATGTGTCTGTTCCTTTGTAGATGTAACCTGTGAATGTGTTTTTATTTTATATGCACAGACAGTCTTTTTTTTTAACTTTTAAATCAACCCTAGTTGATATGCTAGAACCGCACTCTCCCATATGGTAGCCACCAGCCACATGTGGCTATTGATTATTTGAGACATGGCCAGTGTGAAATGAGATGTGCTGTAGGTGCAAAATGCACACACGACTTTGAAGACAATATAAAAAATAAAAGAATGTAAAATACCTCTTTAATATTTTTGATTAATTGTTGAAATGTATTTGAGATATCATGAGCTAAATAAAATTACTAAAATTGATTCTACCTATTTCTTTTTGCTTTTTAAAATTGTGCCCACTAGTAAATGTAAAATTACCTATGTGGCTTGCTTTATATTTCTAAGGGATAGCACCAGGCTAGAAGTACATGTTCCATGGTCCTCTGCCAGCCAAATCAGGTTGAGAATGCATGCTTGGTTAGGTGTCAGTGGCCTTGGTTAGGCAAGGTGTTACTTCTCCCAGGTGTGTTTTTATATTAAAATCCACATTTTGATCTAAACTAGTAGTTTTCACAGCAGAAGCACCTTGGAAGTTTAAAATAAATATGGCTGGCTGGGTTGCCTCTGCAGAGATTCTGATGGTCCGGGCAGCTGGGGCATTAGGAGTTTTAAAAGGCTCCAGGTGACTTCAAGCTGACAGCCAAAGCTGAGAGCCACCTATTCAAATGGAACAGCCGACACTGAGTCTTGGTGACCGACAGTGTGGGCGGGTGATGTTTGCAGTGGGGCCAGGTTCACACTTTTTGAGTCTTTCGTTGGAACTACAGAAACAAACTGTGGAAAGGATCAGAGCCTGCTTTTTGGCAAGGAGCCTTGGAATAGAGTTAAGAGCACCCTCAAATCTATGGTATGAGGGAAAACCCAGCCCACAGAATCATGGGGAAATGGGAAGAAAGGGAAGCAATGGAGCTAATTATGTGTAGTGATATTTCCCCCAGGAAACCGAAGATGGGTTACAAAGGTGAAGGCTGTCTAGGAGCTCCTCCCTGGTCACCCGTGGTCCTCAGGTTCCAAGCCCCTCTTCACAGGCCGCAGGATCTGACCAGCCCCATTCCCCAGCAGTGAGAAATGAGGGTTGGCTATAGTAGTTCTAATGTGTGCACTCAAAGGAAATACTCAGATTCATTAATGTAATGATATTCTAAGTGTCTTATATAGAGCTTCAGAATTCTGGCAAATTCTACTTTTAAATGGGAGACTTTGTATTAGACTTGAGATAAGAAACTCCTCCCCCACCCCCACCCCCAACCGCCTCACTCCAATTGAAGCTTCTCCAGGGAGGTTTCTGAGGGGAGGCCTTGGTTACACTTTCTCAACTATTTGGGAAGCTGAGGGGGTAGATCCCTTGAGTTCAGGAGTTTGAGACTAGCCTGGGCAACATAGTGAGACCTCATCTCTGCAAAAAATAAACAAAAATTAGCTGGGCATGGTGGTGCACACCTGTAGTCATAGCTAGTCAGGAGGCTGAGGTAGGAGGATTGCGCTTGAGCCCAGGAAGTTGAGGCTGCAGTGAGCCAAGATAGCACCACTGCATTTCATTTCAGCTTGAGTGACAGTCACACCTTGTCTCAAAAAAAAAAAAAAAAAAAAAAAAAAGGTTATATGCCCACACCTTTCGGAATAGTTATTTTTTTAACTTCCCATACCTACGTTTCTTGCAAAGCTAGTATCCATGTGGGAAAGGTTTGTGCCAGCTGCCACCATTTTTGATGTTGGAGTAAAATCGATCTTTTTCTAATCAGAACCTGTTTCTTGAGAAAAATGCCAGATGTTTTCCTCCTCCCTCCCTCTCTGCATTCTTTTTTCTTTTCTTTTCTTTTTCTTTTTTTTTTTTTTGAGACTGAGTCTTGCTCTATTGTGCGGGCTAGAGTGCAGTGGCGTGATCTCAGCTGTCTGCAACCTCCGCCTCCTAGGTTCAAGGGATTCTCCTGCCTCAGCTTCCCGAGTAGCTGGGATTACAGGTGCCTGCCACCATACCTGGCTAATTTTTGTATTTTTAGTAGAGACAGGGTTTCACCATGTTGGCCAGGCTAGTCTTGAACTCCTGACCTCAAGTGATTCACCCGCCTTGGCCTCCCAAAGTGCTGGGATTACAGGTGTGAGCCACCATGCCCAGCCCCTCTCTGCCTTCTTTACTTCCTTTCCTTATCACCTATTTAGGATTTCGCAATGTTAGGTGATTTCTTTTCCGTATTTCCAACTGAATTAGAGTTAACTAAATGACAAAAAGTACTTTTGGTCTCAAATTCATCATCATGAAAATGGGCCGAAAAAATGAGGACACTTAGAATTTTACTATCAGATACTGCCAGATGATTAAAACACCTGTATTCCACACACACTGTGCCCTTGTGAGTCCTAATTGTGCTGTTTCTATTTCTCTCAGACTGCTGGCAAGTGACCAGGTGTGACTAGGTGTGACCAGGCATGACCAGGCATGACCAGGCGTTAAAGAAGTGCTCCCTCATTTCAAGTCTCTTAAAGATGAAGGTAACAGCTGCCCAATGAGGATGGAACCGCATTTGTGAATGGAAGCACTCATAGCTGGGTTTCCTGTACTTTGTATTTTCTTATAGATCTAAAGTTGTAACTTCCACATAATATGAACTACTTCAACAGTTTCTATTTCTATTCTATGTCCCTGGGGAGTGGGGGTGGTGCTAGAGTGAAAGGATTTGGCAGTGCGTGCAACATAAAAAAAAAAAAATCCCTTCCTTTGGCCGGCATTCAACTTTTATAACATGTTTTTATTTTTACTTTTTTGGGGGGGAAAGACAGGGTTGCTCTGTCGTCCAGGCTGCAATGCAGTGGTGTGATCGTAGCTCAATGCAGCCTCCAATTCCTGGGCTCAAGCGATCCTCCCACCTCAGCTATAATGTATTTTTAAATTTGGAAATGCATTCTCCTCTTCCTCCACCCAGCGTTATATTTTTACTCTCCTCTTATTCCCTCCAACCTTCACCCAAGTCTGTTTCCTGGCAATTTGAGAAGTGAGAAATGCCTGCGTGGGGGAAAAAGTGGAGGCACATGTTGTGTTGTAATTTTAACGGGGAAGCATTGCCCAATGACAAAACCAGGGACTGTCTTGTGATGTCGCTTTCTGCCCACGCTACCTTTTCTTCTTCTGAGCTCGCTCTCATCCCGCAGAAGGCTGCAAGGCTGCCTCGCATGCAGAGGCTGTGACCTGCTTTAAATCAACAAAGCATGATGATCTTAGTTTGAAGAGTGGGGAGGACAACCATACGGATTGAGCTGTCAACGTTTAGTTCGTTGTAAATATCAAAAGCAGGCAGCCCATTCAGTCCTCATTCTGATCTTTACGGATCTCTCCCACTGATGAGTTAGAAACCCTTTTAAACTCATGTTTTCCTTCCTTCAGCCAGGAAGGATTTATTGAGCACTTACTATTAATATATGCCAGGCACCGTTCCAAGCATGGGGAGTATAGCAGCGAGGAGACCAAGCCTCTGGCTGTCAATTTTGAAACAGCACTGAACTTTCAGCCAGGGCATTGCAGAGGCTGCGTGAGGACAGGGTGGGGCTGTCTGCAGGGCCCCAGCTAACTCCATGTTCAAATTACCTGTGATTTTCTCTAAGTCTGACCGAGCCAAGTACTGTACTAGATAACAATGGAAACACTTTCAGGGGGAGGATGATCTTTTCCTTCTGCTCCTTAACTTTTGCCCCATATCAGGAGGAGCTTCTGAGAAATGTGAGCTTTTCTGCTTAGCCCCTCAATACAACGTCTAACCACAAACCCTGGCTCGTATTTCATCTGTCCATGACACTGTGTGGTGCATGAATATATTCTTACTCTAAAGAAAAAAAAAAAAAACAAAGGATATTTCAAAAATTATTTTCACACATGATTATCATACAGTATTACAATGTATTATGTGCAAAATTCCATTTAAAAAATCATTTACAAAAGTACAACACAGTATGTGCTGAGGGTTCTAGTTCAACAAAAGCCAAGGCTAAAAAAGGTACAAGGTACAAAGCCAACCAAATTAGATGACTACGCATCTTTACACAGTACAATAACATGTTTTTGTAACTACCTGTGTTACATGGATACAAGACCCTCATAGTTTGTGCACCTGCAAGCTGGTTTTATTTAACGTTAAGTTTAACTTCACTGCAGGTTCTGATAATGTAGATTTTTTTTGTGTGTGCATTTTCGAATTCTTCTCCATTATACAGCACCTTATTTAACTCAACAAAAGCCACATTATACATTACTTGGTTTCTGGTCCCAATAATTTGATGCTGTTAGTTTTAATTTCGATGGAAAAGGGAGAAAAGGTGTTCTTCTTGATTTTTATTTTTCTCAAGGGGCTTTCAAAATTGTTTCTAAAAGCAAATCACACATGGAATAGATTTTGCCAAACCTCATTGCATATTTACAGTATTTTAAGCGTAGGTGGTTCCTTCTATCTCTTTTTCTACATCTTTCGAAGAGCCTGAACCAGCAGACTGCACTCCTCAGTCCTTCGTTAGAGTCCGTATTTCTCTCTCTACCTCTCGCTACATTCATTTCTCTCCTTATTCTCAGCATCATTTGTTTAAAAAACAAAACAGCAAAACACCACTAAACGTGAACAAGAGAACAGTACATCCGATTTCCAAAGGCATTCTGTGGCCAGTGTCAGGAATACGTTGCTTTAAGAAATCCAGCAGTCTCTCCCCACAAAGTTGCCAAAACATCCAGTTACAGAAGAGAGACTTTAAAAATGCAATACTCTCAAATCCAGCAAGAGATTTATTTTTGAATATTAAATGTTAAAATCACATGCATAATTATAGAATATTTTAAAGTTACAAAAATATTTTAAAAACCAATCCTGACAGTTTACCTGCAACTGCTATAAAAATTTCTATGAAATATATAAAAACATGAAGGCTCTTTGTAAAAAAAAAAAAAAAAAAAAAAAAGGAAAAAGGAAGGCAGGAAGGGATGAGGCCATCCACAGGAGTGAGAATCACCTGACGCACTGCATCGCAAACATCTGCTGTTGAATTCAAAAGAACTTGTATCTGAAGTGTTTCTTCTGCACATATACATACATGTAAGCCAACCTAGAACCTGACTGGGGGTAGGTAGCAAACAATCTCAGGACACTTCAACCATCAAATACAATTCTCCATTGCCAAAAGGGAATCCTACTGTTTCACGAACCTCAGCTACCTTGCGTGGCTAAAGCTGCCCTTGGCTGAGTTGGCCTGTGGATGGCTTAGTCACTAAACGGAGGGGTCCCCGAGGAGGTGACTGCTTTTCAAGCTCAAGCACATAGAAGCCAGAAGGCAAGGCTTCCAGCTCCCCTTTGGATGCACCACTGGGAAGTCCTGCCTCTCTTCTAGGAGGTGGTGAGGTCATCTTCTCCGTTCTGGAAAATGACGCCGTAAGGATCGTTCTTGATGCGTTTGTAGACAAAGTGGAAGATGTGGGGCTGTGGTCGACTGTGCAGCTCTGCCTTGATTTTTTGAGGGTAAGTGTCCTCTGCCAGCTGCTGCCATGTCTCGTCAACGAAGAGAAAGAGGCTGTACTCCTCAGGGTCCCCCACCTTGAACTTCTCAGCGCAGATCTGACACACATCCTCGGTGGTGATATAAGGTCTCACAAGGAGCGTCTTTCCTGTGCAACCACTGTTGACCTCCTGAAATGCAACTCGGAGGTAATTCTGCAAGTGGAAGAGGAATGTTGAGACAGTCAGAAGAGAAAACTAGATAGTGAGCATGATGGGGGACCGAGTGGGGCACGGTGACTGTGAGCCACTTCCAGGCCCTGTCTTGTCATAATGCCCGATGTCAGGCCATGAGGCTTCGAATGACAAGGAAAGAGGCTGATCTGACTTTGGACAGTGGCGAGGAGAACTACATGATTCATTGCAACTATAAGAAGCAGGAAGTCCAGGCAGCCCTGGTTCTGATCTGTCCATTTCCCTCATAAAGTCTGCTTAAGAAACCCCTGCTTAAGAGTGTGAACCACATCCAATGCTGGGTTTCTTCCCAGCTTGAAAAATAAACCAAATAGCACAAGAGTATGAAGGAAGTCAGCAGGAAGAGATTTAAAATATCTACACACAACAGCACGCACAGTGCTCACATTTTGTTTTTTTCTGTTCCTTTTAAGAGATGAGATCTCACTATGTTCCCCAGGCGGGACTCATACTGCTGGGCTCAAGTGATCCTCCTGCCTCAGCCTCCTGAGTAGCTAAGTCTACAGGTGCATGCCACTGTACCTGGCTTGTGCTCACTTTTGACATACTTTTTAAATAAATCCTAATCAAGGGCAATAATTTAGGTTGAATCACACACATACAAAAAACATGCTGACATTTGACTATTTTTTATCTCCCCCAAATGGTGATTTCAGGTAGCTCAGTCTAATACAAGGCTCCTAGTGGCTCTGGGCACAATGTGGAAAAGAACGTTGATTTTGCCAACTTTTGCAGATGGAGGTGATTACACGCAAGGTGGTGCTGCAGGGAATTAAACAAAGACATTTGCAGGCTCAGGCGCTGCCATCATGCCAGGTACATACTATCATGAAATATGTAAACCTGTGGTCTTACAAGATACAAAGCCCAGACCAGGCATAAAGAATCTTAAATTCACATCAGGCTCTCCTAGATTTTGTGACCCCAGACAGCTTTGCTTCTGTTTCCTTAAGAGTGGCGTTATCAGCCGGGTGCGGTGGCTCAAGCCTGTAATCCCAGCACTTTGGGAGGCCGAGATGGGAGGATCACGAGGTCAGGAGATAGAGACCATCCTGGCTAACACGGTGAAACCCCGTCTCCACTGAAAAATACAAAAAACTAGCCGGGTGAGGTGGCGGGCGCATGTAGTCCCAGCTACTCGGGAGGCTGAGGCAGGAGAATGGTGTGAACCCGGGAAGCGGAGCTTGCAGTGAGCTGAGATCCGGCCACTGCACTCCAGCCTGGGCGACAGAGCGAGACTCCGTCTCACAAAAAAAAAAAAAAAAAGAGTGGCGTTATCAGATGAAATCTAGAACACCCAGTGAAATTTGAGTTTCATCTAGAAAACAAATACATTTTATTCTTCTAAATCTGGCAACCCGGCTCGGCAGTGAAGGGAAGGAGGGCTCTCTGCCCAGGTGCCTGCATGGTCACCACGAGGGTTTCCTGGGATAATGGAAGGGGAAGCTCTCGGGAAGGACAGTGAGCTCTGCACATGTCAGATATGTTTCATATCTGCTTCCAGTGGGGACTTTTGCTAGCCCAGTGACTTTGCAGGAGAGGTGAGCTAGTGGGAGGTGCCCAGGTTGACACTGATACTCTTTGAACCTTTTTTTTTTTTTTTAAGAGACAGGGTCTACATGATCCCTGTTTGACTAGTGCAGAAACTGAGGCACAGAGAGGCTAAGTAACTTGCCCAAAGCCACACAGCTAGGACATGGCAGAGGCAGCCCCACCATCTTGACCACTAAGACGTACTGCCTCTTCCCATGTGAGAAGACCTCTGTGCCTGTGACCTCTGATTCAGGGGTTTCCGATGGAGCTTTGGGTCTGAGGTTTTGCTTTGACCCCCGAGCCGAGTGCTGAGCATTTCCTTCTTTGGCTACACTCTGAGAAGGCATGCACCTCCAAAGTGAGCAGGGTCAATGAAGGCAGGAGGGGGCGGCTGCAGAAGAAGGCAGCTCCACGGTGTCTGGGGGTCTCCAGGTGAAGAGGTGGAGGAGGAAGTGTGTGTTGGCAGGTGGGCAAAGGAACAATGAACTTTTCTCACTTCCTCTGTTCTGCCTCAGGCAGCCCCTCCCTGGATGGCTGTATAATGGCACCCCAGGGGTCTGCAAACACAGAATGGTACAGGGACCTTCTTAGTGCAACAGGGTGGGGAGAGTGCAGCACGTGTATTCTCATTCTTTAGGTTTATGTGCTTGAGAAGGAATTTCTGAGAATACTGAAATCTTGGAGAAGAACGAGCTGATCTTGGCTTTCAAAGATGGGCTTGCCTTGTTTTTATTTGTTTTTGAGAAAGGGTCTTATTCTGCTGCCCAGGCTGGAGTGCAGTGGTGTGATCATGGCTCACTGTCGCCTCAAACTCCTGGGCTCGACAGATCCTCCCACCTTAGCCTCCTGAGTAGCTGGGACTGCAGGTGTGTACCACTATACCCGGCTAACTTGAAAATTTTTGTTGTCGTTGTTTTGTAGAGAAGGGGTCTCACTTTGTTGCCAAGGCTGGTCTCCAACTCCTGGCCTCAAGCGATCTTCCTGCCTCAGCCTGTGAGGCGATGGGATTACAGGTGTGAGCCACCTCATCTGACCCTCTATTTTCAGAGCTCTTAAAAAAGAAAAAAAAAAAAAAAAAGGCCAGGCGCAGTGGCTCACGCCTGTAATCCCAGCACTTTGGGAAGCTGAGGCGGGTGGATCAGTTTGAGGCCAGGAGTTTGAGTCCAGCCTGGCCACCACGGTGAAATCCCGTCTCTACTGCAAATACAAAATAAATTAGCCGGCTGTGGTGGTGAGCGCCTGTAGTTCCAGTTACTCTGGAGGCTGAGGCAGGAGAATCGTTTGAACCTGGGAGGTAGAGGTTGCAGTGAGCAGAGATCGTGCCACCACTGCACTCCAGCCTGGGTGAGCGAGACTCCACCTAAAAAAAAAAAAAAAAAAAAAAAAGCAGGTGAATCTGGACATGTAGGCAAATCTGTCCTGCTTTCCAGATCCCTGCTTGGAAACTCATCATGAGGAACATAGAAACAAACCATAGGCAGATGTTATCATTTAATTTAAAACCTTCAAAATATTATTTGAAGACACTTGCCAACTCACTTGTTATTTCATAAACGATGAGCAAATCAGGAATTGTGTTAGCTAAGGATTTCTTTTTTTCTTTTTTCTTTTTTTTTTTGAGAGGGAGTCTCGCTCTGTCGCCCAGGCTGGAGTGCAGTGGCACGATCTCCACTCACTGCAAGCTCCGCCTCCCAGGTTCACGCCATTCTCCTGCCTCAGCTTCCTGAGTAGTTGGGACTACAGGTGCCCGCCACCACACTTGTCTAATTTTTTGTATTTTTAGTAGAGACAGGGTTTCACCGTGTTAGCCAGGGTGGTCTCAATCTCCCGACCTTGTGATCCGCCAGTCTCCGCATCCCAAAGTGCTGGGATTACAGGTGTTAGCCACCACGCCTGGCCTCTTTTTTTCTTTTTTGAGATTAAGTCTCACTCTGTCGCCTAGGCTGGAGTGCAATGGTGCGATCTCGGCTCACTGCAACCTCCGCCTCCTGGGTTCAAGCAATTCTGCTGCCTCAGCCTCCCAAGTAGCTGGGATTACAGGTGCCTGCCACTACACCCAGCTAATTTTTATATTTTTAGTAGACACAGGGTTTTACCATGTTGGCCTGGCTGGTCTCCAACTCCTGACCTCAGGTGATCTGCCCGCCTCGGCCTCCCAAAGTGCTGGGATTACCGGCGTGAGCCCCGATGCCTGGCCTTGGGTAAAGATTTCTATAGCCCTCACCCACCTCTCCATTCTAAGAAACAAGCTCATTGGGAATCCCACGTTCCCAAGCAGCAGCTCATGGTCAGGAAAAACCCTGGCCAGGGAACCTGAGCAGGACTCGCTCAGATGCTTGCCTGGTCACTCTGCACTGTGGACGGCTGCCATAGCTGCTGCTGCTGCTGCTGAGATTCTGGGGTCTTCTGTTTTGGAGAGCGGGCGAGTGAAAAGGGAAGGAGACATCACTGTTCCTCTCCCCTTTCCCAAAGAGAAACTAGGCCAATTGCATCGCGTAACACAGCGGCTGTTTCCTGATGAAACAAAATCTCCAACGCCTGTGCCAAATGCTTCCTCCTCCTTTTTGACTTATCGTCTGCTTGTTTGGGCAGAAATCCTGCCTTAATTCAACTTGGTTTTCTTAAGGACAGCAAACCTTGGGCCAAATATCCCATGCATATATAAATGTAAAGAAAACAGAGCAATGTAACAAGGCCAGAGGGTGGTTTGAGATCTCCCTTTCCTGCCAAATAATTCAACACAGTGGGGACCTCTGAGCTGGGATGTGCTGGGTGAGCCAGCTCTGCATTCCTGGAGGACGAAGGAAGCAAAGCGGGGGCCAGCTGCACACCTGGAAGTCGTCCACAGAGGGGATGGTCCGGTTGGTGGTTCTCCGTTTGTGCCACTGCCTCAGGGTGTCTCTGGTTTCTGAGCTGAGCAGTCGCGCTGCTTGTTCTTCTTGGAAATTCTTTATCAGAGAAAGTGCTCCGTATGCGCTTGTCAAGTAATAGCCTCCTGAAAAGAGCAGAAAGAGTGGGTCCTCCCAGTGCCAACCTCCGCTCACAGGTGATAATGGGATGCCAGCGTTAGAGGGCATGTTTTGCATTTTTAGTATTTCTTCAACATGCATTTCCTGTAGGATCACAGAGGCCCACATCCAAGAGCATGGCACTCACTCCTCCATCCATCCCTTCACACAGCCATCCTGCAGAGATTTATGGAGTGACCCAGGCCTGGGAGGGGCCGGGGGAACACAGACAAGCCAGGCTGACAAGGTTCCTGTTTCCACTGATGGGATTTCCATTCTAGTGCGTGAGACTGACCAAGCCTCTAAAGTGTTTTTGTTGTTGTTTTTGAGATGGAATCTCGCTTCGTCACCTAGGCCGGAGTGCAGTGGCACAAGCTCAGCTCAATGCAACCTCCGCCTCCCAGGTTCAAGCAACCCTCCCACCTCAGCCTCCTGAATGGCTGGGATTAAAGGCAGGCGCCACCATGCTTGGCTAATTTCTGTATTTTTAGTAGAGATGGGGTTTCACTATTTTGGCCAGGCTGGTGTCGAACCCTGGCCTCAACTGATCCACCCATCCCGACCTCTCAAAGTGCTGAGATTACATGAGCCACCATGCCTGGCCAAAATTATTAAAGTGCAATTGTGAAAAACGTTTGCTAGAAATAGTTGGGGTATTAAGGCCTGACGGGGTGGTTGGGGGAAAGTCAGGCTTGTGAGACAATCCAAAACCAGAATCCCCTCCATCAGTCCAGACTCGTGGTAACACTTGCTTTTGGCTTTTTCTTTTAGTAGTTGATATTTTCTATCTCTGATAAACAAGAATCTGGTTTTTAAAAAAAGTAAAAAAAAAAAAAAACAACGAAATGAATATTTTCTAAATTAAGTATACTATTCACTTTGAAAGAACTGTTCGCAAAAATGTGGGTACTTCAAAAATAATTTCTCCTGATTCCCTTTCTTACCCCTTCCTTTGGGACTAACGTGACATCTGGCACTTAGGATAAAATAATTTACAGGAAAGTGATGCTCCTGTGATGGTGCATTTAGGAATGATCTCTTATGTTCCTGAGGAGTGTAAAAGGGCTGACGACCCTGTAAGATGCGTATGTATTCCTTCATAGTTTTTGTTGTAACATATGACTAGGTGTCTGGGGAGGAACTTATGGTCTCTGCGCTGAAGAGCCACTAGGGGTCGCCCCAAATGTTTATTAAAAATTCCCTAACTGGGCACAGCACATTTTAGATGTAGAGACATTCTTTGTCAAAATACCCACTGAATCTCTACTGCGAGCCACAGCTACAGAGGAGAAAGTAGGTTTGTAAGAAATAGAATCTGAGTCCTCACTCTCCAGAAGTTTATGAATGTGTGTTTTTTGTTTTGTTTTGTTTTGTTTTTAAAAAGACACTGGTAATTTATGCCTGCAGGGACCAGAAGTTAGTTTGGTGAAATGAGTTTTGTGCAGAAGTGTCACCTTTAGGGCCAAAGTATTTAACTGTTCATGTGAGACCCTGCGGAAGCCTCTCTCTGGTCAATAAGTGGCAATATGCAAGATGGCAACTGTCCCCTCCATGTGGATCAGGAGCCACACGCCCTGCAAACTTGTGCTGGACATGAACTCGAGAAAGAAAAACACCCTTCTTGTTTTCAAGTTGCAGATAAAGACTTGAGGTTATTTTTTCCTCCAGTATAATCTGGGTAACCCTGAGCCATGCGCTTTCCCTTGATCACATGTCAAGCTTTCTGTGTATAGAGTGATCTGAAAGGTTTTTCAGACCTTGCCACCTACAGTATAATCACCCTAGTTAAGAGTTTTGAATTGTTGATCTTTACCAAATATTTGCCCCACAAACAAATCAGCAGGTGACTGTGTGTGAAACTCAGTAATCCAGAATACAGATGCTACATGAAGAATTTCAGGAGAAATCAGTATGAATGTAAGTATTCGGGAAAGGCTGTATGGAGGGTCAGGATTTGAGCAAGGACTTGGAGAACTGTTACAATCTTTGTGGGGGTGGTGGGGGGCTCCTTTGGACTTCAAATTTTAGACTCCCTAGCTCTCATCTGTTCAGGACACTAAGGAGAAAACTCAAATGCTGGAAGCACAGAATTGACCACACTTTGAAACATGTGGATGCAATTAGAGAAGGTTTTAAATTTCAGCAAAACTATAACCCTACCACAAGAGCTGTGCAATTCTAAGGGATTCTATGACGCCTTTTTGGTAAATGAGAATACCTGCTTAAACAGCAGAAAACAGACGTGGCTGCTACCCCACAAACCAAAGAGGACTTTGGGCAGGCACGGAAAAGTCCAATCTGTATTTTTGCCACTGCTCAGTAGCCTCTTCCTCCCAGGCTGCATGGCTTCAGTTCGATGCTACGTAGGCCTGGTCTGTGATCACAGCCAACCCGACTAGGCTGCCTGCTCTCCCAAGGAAGGCAGCCAAGAAGCCCCAGACACGGTTAAGTGGAAGCAGGCTCTATTTAAGTGCGAGCTCACCAGCCGCTTTGTGTCCTTACTAGTTGTGCCCTTGTCTTTCTTGTGGGATTCGTGGAGGAGATGACAGCCACCTGTCCATTAGTCATCAACACAGGGCCTTGCCCTGGGCCAATCTGGGAAAGGGGCAGGAAGTAGCTGTCTCTATCCTTGGGCCACAAGATACAAGCAAATGTTTGTCCTGAGTGCACATTGTCAGTAACAGAATCGACTTTCTAAGTGAAACCGGCATGTCTTTTTCCCCAAAGCCCTAAGAGCTCTACATACTTATTACTAGAATTAAACATGATTGAAGCTTGAAAAAGAACAACCCAACCCCAAACTGTATTAATAACAAACATTACAGTGGAAGGAAGGAAAGCATGCCATGTAGACTAACATGCTTCTCTTGATCCCTGGGCAAAACCACATGTTTGGCCTTGTCCTGTCTAATCCCAGGGCAGAGCAGGCAAGAAAAGCTCCAGGGAGGGCCTCAGAGGCTCATCAGGGAGTGTCTGGTTCCATGGTTAGGAATATTAATGAGGGGACAGAAGAGGCTAAAGGGTGAAAGAATGAAAGAGGCCCATTCATACCTGCCTGGGATGGGGAACAGGAGGAGAGCGATTCATCCCACATTCTGAGTCAGCACTACCCATGACCACGTGGGAAGGGCATAATTGGGCTCCAGGGAGGGCGGTCTCTCCGACAGAAAAAGTAGGACTGAAGAGACTAAGGGGCACATTCTGGGGTGGTAAAAATGCACTTCATTCCCTCCAGGGAAAATGCTGGGATGACTCATTCCTTAGGGAATCCTGTCAGAGATGGACCTTTCCACTCAAGCCCAGACTGAAACTCATCGGAAAACAACAACAACAACAACAACAACAACAACAAAACCCCATAACAATCCCCCCCTAGGGCTTGTCTGGGTTTTTATCTGGATATATTAAAATGGATTAAGAGGATTCACAGTGCACAGGCCCTGATTTGTTCTCCTTTAAAAAGATAAGCTCACGCAGAGTCCTAGTTATGTCTGCTTTTCAAGGCTGTGCACTAGTGTGCCAAACATCCTAATCATTTCCATGGTAAAATACCTAAGCTATGTGTAAGGAGAAGGAATTTCTGCTAAGACATGTTGGGGTTAGGCAGACATAAGAAGAAGGAACCCGACTGCCAAGGTAAATTGAGAGCAAACTGCACGGATTCCACATCCCTGTGTTTTTATTATAAAAATGAAAAGATACTTTAAAAAAAAAAAAACTGGAAAAAATTTAATACTGTTTTTACCTTAAAAGTGAAATTTTAAAAAATAAAAACAAAGCCAAGCTTTTACCCATTTCACTAATATAAGAGCAGGTTATTTTTCTGGCAATGGAAATATCCTCAACAAAAGTTTATAATTTTCTCTTGGAGTCAAAGAAACCATTTCTTCAAAAAAAAAATGGCATTTATTCTACTGAACGTAGTTTTTTTTATTGCCATTAAGCAATCTTAGTGAAGCATAGTTAAGATGGGGTTATATTTTTTCTTTGTGTTTTTCCTGGCTTTTCCAAATTTTCTACCATGAGTATGTATTACCTTTGCAATCAGAAAAAGCTTAGTACACTCTTTTAAATTAAAAAAAAAATTCAGTTAACACTTAAGATGTCAAAAAAAGCACCCAAGTAACTGCTTAATGGGTGCAGAATTTTATTTTAGGGTGAGGAAAATAGTTTGATGCTAAATAAAGGTGGAGAATGCATGACATTGTGAATATACCAAATGCCACTGAATTATTCACTGTAAAATGATTAATGTTATATTACATGAATTTCATCTCAATTTTAAAAAAATGAAAAAAATAGCACCCAGTTCCTTCAACTTTTCTCAAAAGCAGTTACCTTCTCCATGTAACAGCGATGGGTCTAGGAGCTCCATCATGTACTCGATTTCAGTGTCCAATTCAAGCATGTCACACTGGGCTATGACATAGGTCAGGACTGGCAAGAAGTCATCAGCGCCATACATCCTCCCTGAGAGTAGGAAGAAAGAACGAGATGGAATGTTTTTACCAACTTTTCTTTCTTTCACATCCTACTTGCTGCTTTTATTAGACAGCAAGGAGTCATTCTGGGGGACTGTGCTATTTATAAACAGAGGTGGGTGTTTCTGGAATCCTATGTAGCCTGTGACCCTCCCAGCTGCTAATGTTAGAGACCAGCCCTTACAGTTTCAGAATGAATGTCTATGAACCAATGAACACATTACAGATTTTTTCCCCACTTTTATAATTTGTATAAAATTATATGATAGAACAGAATGCTCGTTAAAATATTTTAATTTTCAGCAAACAATAAATAATATTGTAAAACACAAAATATTTACTTATGCTAATTCTTTGTGTCTTATTTCCTGTTTCTTGCTGTGCACATTATTCACAAACATAATGACAAGGCCAAACTCAAACCAGGAATAAGCCAACTTTGCTCTGTATTTAATGTGAGCACACAGTTAATTCGGTATATGTTGAATATACACATTAATCAATAGAAATATATGGCAAAAAGTGTTAGTCTTTACTTCTAGTTTTCTTTACATCAGTGGTTCTCAACTGGAGATGGTTTTGTCCTCCAGGGGATATCTGGCACTGTCTGAAGACATTTTTCATTGACATAACTGGAGGGTGGGGATGCAGATGACATCTGGGATGCTGCTAAACTTCCTACAGGAAGCAGGACAGCCCCTGATTAGAAGATTAGAAGAATTATTCTGTCTACATCAAGTCTTTAGTGTGTGTGTTGAGAAACTGTGCTTCAGAAAAGCAAAATCCCATGCAGATTATTATTTGGTGAATTTTTATAAATGACTGTGAACTATAGAAAATATGTTTCCTACATGTGAAATATGCTCGCAAACTTAGGAGGTGATGTTCACATGCTATCATTACCAGGCCCAGGAGCTCATATTTTAACATCTTCACTCAACAATTCCCAAAGTGCACACACATTCCTGTCTACTCAAGCAGTGGTTAATAGAGCCTGTGTTTTCTCTCTGCTGCTTCTTCATTAAGCAATTTCACTCAGAAGAAAAGTTCGTAATCGTCCTCGGAATTACAATAAGCTTACTGAAGACCTGGGACAATGCAAGGCTCCATCACTATCCATGATTCATGGTTACCCCTGCATCTACAGGAAGCAGCAAGGCTAAATCCGAGGGCTGGCTTTCCAAGTTTGTAACTCTTTGGTGAATTTCAATTATATTGATTCGGCTTGTAGCAAAGAAGGGCTAGCCAATGAAATGGCTCTAATGAGGCCTCATTATGACTGAATGCTCCGAGTTCCTTTCACATACTATCGGTCATTGACACAAACCCTCATTGGCCAAAATGTTGTAATGATACTCGCTGATATTTCCATTGCACTTGGGGCTATGTGTGAGCTGTCTCAGCTGATCCCCACCTTATGAAAGAAAGGGTGACATCCAGCTAAAGACGCAGAAAACTACAGCGTGCAAGGTTGATTAAGGGGACCAAAGTCCCTCAGTTAATTTTCTTCTTCTTGGAGGGAAGATTTGAACTCAGACTCCAGAGACTGAATTTGTAACCATACTCTGAACTAAATCTTTACTTAAATCAGCCAGGTACAAAAATCTTGTTGCCCTCATCTGGTTACATTTTAATCCGTTGCATGTGGCTAATTCGCCAGATATCAGAGAATCACTTGTAGTTTTGTAAGGCACTTGGTGAAATCAAGAGACCAAAGGGAGGAGAAATTGGGAATCAGAAAGCCTGACAGGAGACAGGCCTGTCTCTGGCCCGGGAGGGAAGCGGCATGGAGCCTGGGCTTCCAGCGGCCTCACCTGAGTTGTTCTCCATGACCGTGTAAATGAGCTTGCAGACCCGCAGCAGCAGCATGACCTTCTTTTCTGGTGAATACATCTTCTGCATGGTCATAAACTTGACTTTGATTTTCTCCACATCCACAAAATCAGGGGTCGGGGCGAAGACCCCCAGCTCCTGCGGATTCCTCTGCCGCACAAGCTGCAGGTTCTCCTTGAGTTGCTTCCATGAGCCGTCGGCCATGTGAAAGTCCTTCAGCATGGCCTCCACGTGCCCCTTGAGAGGCTTCAAGATGCACTTGTGCATGGCTTTTTCCAGCACCACATCTGCCAAAGAAAGTGTAGCTACTATGACCATTGTCTGAAGAAAGAAGAAATGCAACATCTGCTTTCTTATAATGGACGTCTGCAACTCTATGCATTCACTGCAGGCACACAAGTTGTACACCTTAACATCCAACCAACAGACAACACCAAGCAGCACCATGACTCACAGGTTAACATTTTTTTTTCTGAAAAGCCGGGAAGGCCGGGCGCGGTGGCTCAAGCCTGTAATCCCAGCACTTTGGGAGGCCGAGGCAGGCGGATTACAAAGTCAGGAGATCGAGACCACTGTGAAACCCCGTCTCTACTAAAAATACAAAAAATTAGCCGGGCGCGGTGGCGGGCGCCTGTAGTCCCAGCTACTCAGGAGGCTGAGGCAGGAGAATGGCGGGAACCCGGGAGGCGGAGCTTGCAGTGAGCTGAGATCGCGCCACTGCACTCCAGCCTGGGCAACAGCGTGAGACTCCGTCTCAAAAAAAAAAAAAAAAAGAAAAGCCGGGAAGACCTAATCTTCCCCAATGATGTATAACTTGCATATAACCAATACAATGAAATATACTTGTTTTAATTACTTTCATGCCCTATCCCTATAAGTACAGGCAAATATGCTAGAAGACATTCTTTTGACCTAGTCCTTCAACTGGTCATCCAGTTAACAGGAGAGCAAAGATGTTATCTTAAAGGAAGGATTTTCTAATAATGAGGGTTCAACATCTCTTAGAATACTTTCTGAGGAGGGCCTGGCGCGGTGGCTCACATCCGTAAATCCCAGCAATTTGGGAGGCTGAGGCAGGCAGATCATTTGAGGTCAGGAGTTGGAGACCAGCCTGATCGACATGGTGAAACCCCATCTCTACTAAAAATACAAAAAAATTAGCTGGGCGTGGTGGTGCACGCCTGTAGTCCCAGCTACTGGGGAGGTTGAGGCAGGAGAATTGTTTGAACCCAAGAGGAGGAGGAGCCAAGATTGTGCCACTGCACTCCAACCTGGGCGACAGAGTGACACTCCATCTAAAAAAAAAAAAAAGATATTTTCTGAGGAAGCAGATCCACCTAAATATAATATGTGATCTTGGATCAGATTCTGGACTAAAAAATTCTTCATTTGCTGTAAAGGACATTAGTAGGGCATTGAATACAGCCTGCAGACTAGGTTATAGTGCTAACAAGGCATCAGTGTTAATTTTCTAGGTCTGATAATTACACTGTAGTTATTAAACAGGAATAGCCTTGTTTTTAGGAAATATGCATTGAAGTATTTAGGGATAAAGGGATACAATGTCTGCAACTTAAATGGTTCAGAAAAAATGAGAGAGAGAGTGTGTGCATGTATTTGTGTGCACGTATGTGTACGTGCGTATATGTGTGACTGTATGTGTGTGTGTGAACAGGGAGAAAGAAGAATGAGGCAGATGTGGCAAAGTGCTAACATTTGGAAATCTGAGTGAAGGGTAGATATTTCTTTATGCTATTTTTGCAACTTTCCTGGAAGTCTGAGATGATTTCAAAATTAAAAGTTAAAAATGTATGAAATGTGTTTCTGTTCTGAGTTAGGAAACACCTTTGGGTGTGGGAGGCGTTATTCTTCCCTCCTTCTTTGAATGGTTGCCCAGTGGAGTAGCTTTCTTGGCTAATACCAAAATGACCAGTACCATAAATCCAGAGATACGGGCTGAAGACTATTTATATAACAATAACTCTCCTGCTTTGTCAATAGCAGCTTTTTGATCTCACATGTTTGCACATTCTCATCTAAGCCCCCTGGGTTCTACTGCAGCATCTACACATAAAATCATGACTCCTTAATTTGATTCCATTTGGGAAGCCAATGGATCCACTTGCATATGAGATTAGAAATAGTTAAGTTAGGCCGGGCATGGCGAATCATGCCTGTAATCCCAGCACTTCGGGAGGCTGGGGTGGGCAGATCACTTGAGGCCAGGGGTTCAAGACCAGCCTGGCCAACATAGCGAAACCCCATCTCTACCAAAAATACAAAAAATTAGCTTGGTGTGGTGGTGCACGCCTGCAACTACTCCGGAGGCTGAGGCATGAGAATCTCTTGAACACTGGAGGCAAAGGTTACAGTGAGCCTAGATCCTACCACTGCACTCCAGCCTGAGTGACAGAACGAGACTCTGTCTCAGAAGAAAAAAGAGAAAGAAAAAGAAATAGTTGAGTTGTCTCTCTGGCCTTTGGAATTCCTGACACTGGATCAGATCATACTGAGTTCAAATGATTACCCATTATTAGAATGGCCAGGGACAAATAGAAATCTAATCCAGAGGTATAAACAATGAAAACAATCCCTCAAGGTTAAAACTGAGGCCAAAAGTTAACGCTGACCCCACAATCATCAGATTCCCCTGCCCAAGTTGTTGTTTTTTTTTTTCTCCTCCTCCATCTTATCCAGGAGATCTCCTTGTTTAAATACAAAGGTTTATGTAACTATAGAAATCAAGGTTGATGCCAAGGAGGTTATAAAGTAGGAACAAAAGCAGAACAGCTTATTCACATCTGGCATTAAAACAAATTACTTGGTTTACATTGGTTGCTTTGTGTCAATAAGCTCGTACAACTTTATAGCATCTTTGACTTTACCTTATATCATCTTTATGATAAAAAATTAATAACAGCAATTAATATTTAGTGCTCAGATGGGCCAGGCTCCATCTAAGTGCTTTACTTCACTATCATCCAATCCTTGCAACAATTTTATTATTTTTGCACAGTACTAATATTATGTCCATTTAACAGATAGAGAAACTGAGGCTCAGAGATGATTAATGGCTTGATAGAAGCCACACAACCATTTTAAATAACCATTTATACAACTTTTCAAAGTAAATAATCTTTTAATTGTAAAGTTCAAGTCACTTTATAAATACTTGCCAGTTTATTCCTCTCATCCAAACATTCTGAAAGCTACATTCATGGTTGTAAGTGACCACTACTTGGTTAAAATAGGGTCACCACGGGAGGACAAAGGCCATGTCAATCATTAATTAGAAATGTACATGAATGTCCACAGTAATGTTATTTATAATAGCCCCAAGTTGGAAATAACCCAAAGGCCCATTTGGACAGAAATGAATACATTGGATATATTCATTCAATGGAACACTACAATGAAATTCAGACAATGGAATGTATTTATTCAATGAAAAAGCTCACATTACTGCTCCAGAACAACATGGATGAATCTCACGGACACGATGCTGTGTGAAAGAACCCAGACACAAGAGTATCTCCTACAGCATTTCATTTCTATGAATTTTCAAAAGCAGGCGAAACTAACCTGTGGGACAGAAGTCACCACGGCAGTCCCCCCCTTGGGGAGGATCTGGGCTGGGACAGGACACCAGGGATTGGAGATGTTCTGTATCTGGATCTGGGTTGTGTCTACATGGGTGTGCATGTGTGTAAAATTCTGTTGAGCCGAGCACTTAAGATTTACACACTTTATGGATGTAAGTTAAACCTCAATAAATGTATATGAATCAGAGAAACAGAAAACAACTGAAGACCTGGATGAGAATTTCACCTTGAACCCCAAGGGCAACTTTTATCATCAGAGCGAGCCCGGTCACCTCTGGGCCAGAGTGTTAGTACACATCACCCCCAAAAGGCTCCCAGCTGCACCTGGGGAACGATGACAGCAGAAAGGTCGTTACTAGCAAGTTGGACAGGCTCCCTTGTGCAACTCATCCTTGCTGCCAGGCAGGGGTGCTGGCCTTCGAGAGGAATTCCACCCTTAGGTATAAAAGGGGCTGTGGAAATCTCTTAGGAGGGTTGAAACCTAGGACCAACTGCCAAGGGGGTAGCCCATTGTCTGAAAATAAAATGAAAAAGTAATTGCTAGTGGTAGATTTTAGTACATTTTTCTTTAAGATCATAATTTAAAAATAAGGAAACTGGTCCCTGCATGTTTTTTCAGAGGTTTACCCCATTCCTCCTCCCCACCCTCCCCAAATCCTTAATAAACATAAAGAGTAGGGGACAAGAGCCTAAATGAAAAGAGGGACCCAAGACCCAACTGGCTCTCTCCAGTAGGGAAAGCAAGGTTCTGCTCATAAAGCAAGAAGGAAAAAGGATTTGAGGAACCCAAGAACAGACGATCTTTCATATCATGAACCACCTCAGACAAACGAGGAAAAAGCAAATTGGTCACATTTCTCATAAATTACTACTCTCCATTGTTTTCTGTGATCTCTGTTTGCATTAACTGTTAATTCCTGGAAAACAAAAAAAAATCTTTTAAACTCTCAGAACAATGACACTATTCTAGCCACTTTACTTGCACTGGATCTTCAAATCCTCAAACAAACCCCATCCAGGGAGGGGGAGGAATACTATGTTTTCATTTCACAGATGAGGAAACCGAAACCCACGGACATCTTTGTCAAGGAGCTATCAAGAGCGGGAGCCAGGACTTGAACCCACAAAATGTTTCCTGAGTTCTTGGAGTAATGTCAACTGTATTCATCCACAAGCACGCATGCAAAACAAACACCTGAAACCGTTACAGATGAATAAGGTGAGTATATGCTTTTGAAGCTCATTACTGTCTTTTTGTTGTTGCTGTTGTTGAGATGGTGGGGGTCTCACTATGTTGCCCAGGTTGGTCTTGAACTCCTGGTCTCAAGGGATCCTCCCACATCAGCCTCCCAAAGCACTGGGATTACAGGCATGAGACACCATGCCTAACCTCACTCATTTCTTTTCTATTTTTCTTTTTTTTTTTTTTTTTGAGACGGAGTCTCACTCTGTCCCCCTGGCTGGAGTGCAGTGGCCGGATCTCAGCTCACTGCAAGCTCCGCCTCCCGGGTTCACGCCATTCTCCTGCCTCAGCCTCCCGAGTAGCTGGGACTACAGGTGCCCGCCACCTCGCCCGGCTAGTTTTTTTTTTGTATTTTTTAGTAGAGACGGGGTTTCACTGTGTTAGCAGGATGGTCTCGATCTCCTGACCTCGTGATCCACCCGTCTCGGCCTCCCAAAGTGCT